GGGGGCGGGGGCGGGGGCGGGGTGGATTACCGGGCGAGCAAACGGGATTTGCAGACAGAGACCTTTTTATTTTAAACGAGTACACGCGCCGATTTCGAGCACTGGGAGCGCGCCTCGCCTGGCTGATTGAACTCACTTGCTCTTCCAGGTGCCGCCCTGCGGGAAATTGAGACAGACGGAGTCCCCCACCATCTATGCCAAGTTTGGCAAAACACCAGGCTTCCAGCGAAGCTTGTTGGACTGGACTGATGTAGGAAGAGGATTGTTCAATCCATTTGCACTGTTGTATGTTTGGGTCTTTGATGTGTTTTTACTAGTGTCGTCAGAAAGAGGCAATCACATCCATTTAGGTCTCAACTGAATTTTCTCTTGACTCTGGTTCTGTGCAGAGCAGAAGAACACTAAGAACTGGTTCTGCTCCCGTGATAGTGTCCGGGTCTGAGTTTGGTGACTGCTGAGACTCAAAGTTATAAAACTGAAAAAAAAAAAATCAACATGGCTGTAGAGCACTTAGGACCTTATTAGATTAGGGTTGTTCAACCTGTAACAATGATAATAATGGTAATAATAAGTGGCACTTACACAGTGCTTACTGAGGGCCAGACAATGAGGTCAGCATTCTGCATAGAATAACTCATTTGCTTATAATAACTCATTTGTTGGGTAGGAACTATCACCACCATCATTTTACAGAGGAGCTTTTTAAAAATACAAGCTCTTAGTCAAGCCAAGCAAGATGTGATGGTGGCCTCTTTTAATTCCAGCACTTGGAGTCAGAGACAGGAAGGTCTCCGAGTTTGAAGCCAGTCTGGTTTACATAACAAGTTATAAGTTAGTCAGAGACACATAGTCTCTCCCTCCCTCCGTCTCTCCCTCCTTTGAGAAGAAGACCTAGTATTTTTAAGGACTTAGTGAAACACTTCAGCATGTCCTTTGCTAGAATGAAAGAGGAGTGAGAAGACCTGTGCCTTCCAAGAGCTTAGCTTAACTGAGGAGATAAATATATGTGTGACCACGATCCAAAAGGATCATGTATTAAAGGTAAAGGCAGTGTGCATGGCACTCTGCACTAGTAATTATTTCTTAAAATAATAAAGAACTAACCCCTTTGATCTGAGAAGGCATCCTCTATGTATGTTGCAGTCCATTTGCAAGGCGAATGCTTCCAACACTGGAATTTTATGTGGAAGGAAAACCTACCAGCTCAGAGAAGCCTAATGATTTGAAATTAGCATGTATATCAGTCTGTATACCTCCAAGTGATGCACTGAACTCTAGACACTGGCAGACCCCAAGGGAAAGGCAGGTATTGATTGAACATAATGGTTTAGGAAATAAGGCAAATCCACATGCTGCTTATGATTCAGCATGGAGTTGTTTACATAACTGATATTTCATAGTAGTAATATAATGTTATCTTCCCTAGAATGAAATGGAGTTAGTAGTCTAAGGAAATACTGTAAGTATAAAAGTGTTTCTTAAGGATTAAAATATTTGTCATTTCTAAGAACCAGACATGTAATTGTATTTTATGAAACAACTTTCCATTCTTCTTTTATTTTGCATTTTTTTATACACTACACTAATAACATTTACTTAGCCACTTAGAGCTCTACCAATCCAGAAAGACAATAACCATGATATCACTTGCCTGGTGAAATCCTTAAAAGGGATCAAAGGAGTATGTGTTTCAAGACACTCCATGAGCTGATATTATGTGATGCTGCAAAAGAACAAAGCTAGTAAGTCTTATCCCAAACATACAGGTGGATTTGAAGGTTCCTGAATCCCTGTACTGCATGTGTTCCCAGGCTTCCTCTTCAACAGGGGCAGCTCGCCTCCATCTAGGTAGTAACCCTCAACTCTGAAGCTCAGCACAGGCATCCCTGAGCATCCTAGAGCTCTTGTGTCAGGTGTTGGTGCTCTTTGCTGGAGTTCGCACAGGTCTACTCTTCAGGTCTCATCACTTGGTACCATCACTGCTCCTTGGTCAGCAGTCTCTCCACCGCCTGTTGCCACACTGAGGCCTAGTTCTGTGTGTTATCAGTTACCCATTCCCCTTCAAACAGCAAATGCTGTGACTGCTCCCCCCAACTCACCAGCAGCAATGAGTTCTTCAAGCAAACAGAGTTTTGGAGTTGTTGTTAAAGCTCTTCACTACCAGGGCCTGTGGGATTATCAGATTCAAGCAAAATCTCACTGGAAGACCATCAGAAAATAAACCAAACTTTTAGTGACTTTACAGTTGTACAGAAAAATCACATTCATTTACTTTAAAGTATTTCAATGTCATTCATTTGTAAAGTTGACTTCAAGTCATATGTCTTAAGAAGGAACATTTGTTTACAGAATGGAAGTCACTTTTTTTTTGTTTGTTTTTTGGGTTTTTTTTTTTTTTTTGACCAAAGAATCTGCATACTGTGTGCTATCCCTTTATTTGCAGAATTCAAAATGCTCTTCTCATTGAAACTGGACTGAGGATGCTAGTGATACCTATCAGAAATGGTTCCCACTAACTTGAAATATGGCATATCATATCCGTTGTAAAGTGTTGATGACGTGCAGCAGATGGGTTGTTCCAAGTGATAGAAGAACAATTGTCTTTTTTTCTTCTTTTCTTTTCATAGGTTCTCACTATGCAGCCCTAGCTGGCCTCAGATTCACAAAGACTCACAGAGATCCACCTGCCTCTGCCTCCTGAGTCCTAGGAGCAAATGTCTTTTAACATAAAGCTCATTTCATTGGCAATCCAGACTACTGGTAGAAACATTCAACATTTTTTTTGTAACCACTATTGGATTGTCAATAAATTAAAATGTTAGTAGTTATTAGCTTTAGGTGGTGAGAAAATAAAATAATCTTGTTTTTACTATACATTTTCTAACTAAGATACAATTACTGTATGTTTCTTTGAAATTAGTAAAATTTTAAAAATAAGGCTTCATATTTAATATTTGATTTTAGGCATCGATATAAATCTCATAAGGAAATTAAATTAGGTAAGGATTAGTCATCTCTCCAGGGTTGTAATTTGAATCTGAAATGTTCCCCACAGGCTCATATTTTTAATACTTATTCCCTTGCTGGCAGTGCTATTTGTCAGAGACTGGAACTTGTAGAATGTGGATCCTCATTGGCAGAAGTGGTTCAGTAGGGGGCAGCCTTTGAAGGTGTGACCAACCATGGTTCTTGTCTCTTGCTCTACTTCCTGGTCCAGCATGATGTGAACAGCCTCAGCAACCACTCCCACAAGCTCCTGCTGCCATGAATCCAGCTATTTTGCCAAGCTTTCCCTGCTGTAATGGACTGAAGCCCTCTCAGATTATGAGCCCAAATAAATCTTTATTTCCACAACAGATTTCTGTAGAGCAATATAAAAGTTACAAAACTTCTAGTTTTGAGGAAAGGATGCCAAGAGCTAGAGAAGTTAGCTAACTTCTGGAATGATCCACTGTTAGTTTGGTATGAGTATAGATCACTGTCTGCACTGTTGGCTTCTGACCCCAGGTTCTTACAGATGAACCTCAAGAGGCTCTTCAGTGATGCATGCCTATATACAACTAATGCGTCCAGTTTGAGGGGCTATTCCGACAACTGATAGATAAGGGCACTGGACAGTCAAGAAGGACGGCAGCCGTGGACCAGCCTATCTGCTCCATGCTGCACTACAGCAGATGGATGCACTTGTCCTTGATTATACTTTCTAAATCGTACTTCACATGAATCCTTTTCTTTGATGGCAGTTTACATACATCTTGGGCACAATAATATGGAAACTTAAGAACATGAAAAGCTTTCCTAGACACAAGTGTTTTCAGATGACCTGAGACCTGTTTCTCTTGAGTACAGACTCACAGGAATGGCTCAAATTTCACAACAAAATGCTGACTTGGCTGGGAAGAGAATCAATTTTAAGAAACACAAGGTTGGCTTCCAATTTCTGTATGAGAAATTGTCTCCCACTCTCCCTAGTAGTTGAAGAGAACTCTTTAAAAATTACTATTTGGGGGCAGCTGAGATGGCTCAGCAGGCAAAAGGCACTTTTTGACGTTTGATGACCTGAATTCAATCCCCAGAAACTTCATGGTAGGAGAGAACCAACTCCCACAAGTTGTCTTCTGACCTTCACATGCACGCCATGGCACACCTACACATACAAAATAAATATATAAAAATATAATAAACAATTTTTAAATGTTATTTTCCTTCCTGAAATTGCATCTGAATTGTTTTACTGAAAGATATGTTCAGGAGGCCACTGTGCTGCCAGGTAAGCCTATGGACATAGTATAAAGAAGGCTAGATCAGTTCTCTAAGGTCCCTTACAATTTCAAATATGAAGGAACCTATCGCATTTCTTCAGTTGACTCTAATTCAGCTCATTGGAATTTAATAGTCTTCTGAAGAGTATTCAAAGGATTAGAAACTCATCCCACATACGTTCAAAGATTTATTATCGAAACCCAGATGTACATGTATCCACTCCCCACCTTACCTCATCCCTAGAGTGACAGATGTCTCATCATTCCAGTGTCACTGTGTTGAGCCAAAATGAGGGAGACACTTTCATTCTCATGCTGCTGAAAACTCTGACTCTATCCTGGCAAGAAATATCCTGTCATTCTCAGTAATGGAAATAATCTTGGACAGTTAAGTAATTGACTGTATACATTGTAAATACCCTGAAAGTGTTTGCAGATTTCATCAAAAGCCCAAATGTTTTTTTACTTAAGACCAGGAACATGACAGGAAAGGAAATTAGAGGAAGGAAGCTTCCATCCCCCTTTCAGAGTCTCTGTAATTTTCTATGAAGATTTTCACTTTGATTATGCTTAGTAACACCATATGCTGGAGTGGAACAGATCAAAGACTCCAGCCACAGCATTGGAGCCCACACTGCGGGCAGGATTAAATATTTCTGTTGGTAGAATGCTAATAGATCC